GATTCGACCACACTCTCCAGCTATTCTCTCAATATAGTGATTCGACGCCGACGTTCCCCGTCAGAAACGATCCACAGCAGGTGACGGTACCACAACGATACGAATATCGTTCCACAATCGACAAACTCCAACCTGCCAATACGCAGTTTGTCACTAATCGTCGTAAATCATACGTCGTCGCGTCACTCACTACCTTATGTGATAATTAATATCCATGCCTCGCTTCATTTACAATCGATAATTAACATCACTTACATTACTATTCCACCTATTCACACATTAGCATAATATATTTATTCAAATACACTCGTACCATCCCACCACTCCACACACATTTCGTTGTCATTCCAAATTTGCAATATCAATAATCGTACTTCTACCTTCACTTCCAGTAGGCTCTGATGATGACATACACTGTCGAAACGACGTCGTCAGCCGTTCGAAATGCTTGAAGAGTTTAATAAAATTGAGTTACAACCATTGCGTCTTATTGAACAAACCCAAAAGAAATTAATTAATACAAAATGGGCAAGAACATTCAACCAAATTTATATATATATGCTGGTTGTATTTTTGATTGCTCTGCATTTTTCTTAAGTTTTGTAGTTTGTAGTTATTGATTTTGATTAAATTTGGTTGCATTTGATAGGGATAATTTAAGTGAATAGGGTAATATTAATTTTTTATCAAAAATTATTTGTAGTAATTTTGGTTTATTTAAATTCTGGTTTTACTAAATTTAATATTAATTGTGTTTAAATCGGCGAAATAAAAGTTTAGTTTATAATTGTTATAGGATAGTCTGCATACACTGTATTGTTATAGTATAATCTGTACATTCTTTATCGTTTGCCGAGTTGGGTTGTTTGTCTGGTGTTGTTTTTGCATGCTGCAATAATATTATAACTATTTTTGCATGCTGCAATATAATTTTGCAAACTGCAATATTTTATAACAGACTCAGAATATAATAATTTAAGCTGATTTGAACTGTCCTATTGATCAGTTGATGATGAGTGGAAAGGGTAGATCTACGAGAAATGCAAACAGTGATGCTGTACGAAGTGATAAAGAGTCAATAGACGTTCAGTGTTTTTGTTGCTGGATTTTGTTTGCTGTCGGCTTGACTGAAGAATCCTTAGAACTAGTAAAGGCATGTAGTAATGTCCAATTTGTATGCGATGGGTGTTTAAAGTCACCTTCATTGGAGGACCAGGTCATCAAAAGCGTTAAAAGTGGAAATGTTGAAATATGTGACAAGATAGACAGCTTAAGCAAAAAGATTAGATTGAAGATAAATGCAATCAAAGTGAAGATGGAAGAAAATGAAAGCAAAATGTCTACATTGGATATCTCTGAATCAAAGCTCTGTAGAAATTTTAAGCCTTAAAAATGAAATGAGCAGATCTTTCGCAAGTGTTTTTGATTCAGAGGTTAAGAAAAGTGTCTAGATTATAAATGATGATGTAAAAAAAGTACAAAAAACGCTAACCGATGTAATAGAATCGAAAAAACGTGAGGCGAACATGATAGATTTTCGATTGAGTGAATGAACTGATGACAGAAACAGGGTTTGCAAGATAACTCACCTGACTGATGGTGTTCATGATGGGTTGAACGTAGTGAAGCTGTTAAGACTTGGTAAGAAAAGTGATAACGTGGAAAGACCAATTTTGATTAAATTTGATGACGTAAAGGTAAAAGAACTTATCTTCAAGAACATTGTTAAAATGAGGTCTGTGGGCAATGGTCTGACTTGTGTTGGTCTGAGCCACGATCTGACTGTTGAGAAAAGAAATGAACTTAAAAAATTCTTGGATGATGCCAGGTGGATGGAAAAAAATTCAACGGAAGGTTTTTTGATCAGAGTAAGAGGAGATGCGGGAAAATGGAAGATAGTTCAATTCCCAGCAAAAAAAGAGTCAACCTCATAAATGGACGACAAAGCCGGGGGTATGATTTATACAGCTTGATCAAATGTGGTAGTCATGATTTTTACCGTAATGATGATAATAATAGTAATTTGAATGAAAATTTTAATCTGGGTTTGCTAAATGTCAGATCAATTGCACCTAATGTTGATGGAGTTTATGGTCTAATTAGTGATGGGTTGGAAGTGCTGGTGTTGACTGAAACGTGGCATGGCTTGGCTGGGAACAACTCTGTCAATATTGCTAAGCCACCGGGGTATTGTCATGTGAACTTTGTCAGGCAGCATGATCCTGGTCATGATGGGTTGATCATATATTTTTGTGAAGAGTTTAGTTGTAGAAAGTTAGATCTACCTGTATTTGTAACGTTTGAAACTGTCGCCATTAAATTCGTAATCAATAAAAATCAATTCATTCTTCTGGGTGTGTACAGGCCTGGTTCAGCACAAATAACCCTTTTGTTTTTTGAAGAGTTGGTTTCAGTTCTGGAGTATATAACTATGTTAAATGCAAATATTTTACTGATGATCAAAACACCATACGTTTATTTGAAATATTTGATGTATTTCAACTAGTTAATCATATAAATGAGTCAACGCATTCAGGAGGTGGAACATTGGATCTGGTTGTTGGCTCCGCTGATTTTCTTATTATTAGTACTACGGTTTTTCCTCATGGAGTTTTTTGTGAGCACAGTCTAATAACGATTAAGGCGGTAATTGCTAAACCACGTCGAACAACAGCCAAACGAATTGATAGATCGTGCAAAAAGATTGATGAAGATGGATTTGTTGAAGCAGTTTTAAATTCTCCACTGTCTGGTTCTTGTCTTAGTAATGATGTTGATGGTGAGATAAAAATTTTCAATGATGAGTTAAAGAAAATCATTGACAAGCTTGTGCCTAAAAGGGTTATTCTTGACAGAGGTTAGCGGGTGACTCCATGGTTTGATGAAGACTGCTTGCGCGCCAAACGATGTTGTAGAAAGATGGAACGATTGTACAGATGTTCAACGGATATAAAAATGAATGGATTACCTCGCTAAAAATTAAAAATGATCTTTTTTCTGACAGGCGTACAAGGTATTGGAATAATTTAATAAAGTTAAACAAGGGGTCCAGAAATAGATGGCAAATTGTAAACAAAGTGTTATCACGAGTTTCAGGACGCGATTTGTTTATTAATGATATAAAAATAAATGCTCATCAGTTTATGAAATTCTTCACGGACAAGATTGATCAGATTATTCAGACAATAGATGTTAATTCCATTCCGTTAAAAGAGAGATGTAGGTCACCAAATGATTGCTGGTTTTCATCGTTCCCTGTGATTACAGAAGACGAGTTAAAAAGTGTCATACTCAGTTCTCCAACAAAAACAAGCTCACTCGATGTCATACCGACACATGTCCTTAAAAATTATTTAGATTTGTTTATTTGCTTTCCCACCAGTTTTACTAACCTTTGTTTGAAAGTGGGTAAATTTCCTGTTAGTTTCAAACATGCCGTAGTTCTTCCAATTTTGAAGAAAACAAACTCTGATGTTAATTATAGACCTATATCAAATCTTTCGTTCATATCAAAGGTTGTCGAGAGGATTGTTATGAAAAGTCTGCTAGTCTATTTGTCTGTAAATGGTTTGATGCCGATTCATTAGTCAGCATATAGACGATTCCACTCAACTGAGATAGCGTTACTTCAGGTTTTATCAAACATATTTTCAACAATGGATGTTCAAAACATTTCATTACTGTCGTTTCTGAATATGTCGTCAGCGTTCGACTGTGTCAACCATGGTATACTTTTGAAGATGTAGCGGTACAATTACGGATTGAATGACACTGTTTTTGCGTGATTTGAGTCATATCTGACGGATCAAACAATGTGCTGTCTGATGTTAAAATGGTCAAATCAGGGGTACCTAAGGGATCTGTTTTCGAACCTATTCTGTTTATATTATATACATAAGATGTTTTTAAAATTATCAATTTTCATGGATTTGCCTGCCATGCATTTGCGGATGATATTCAAATTTTGGTGACTGGTCATCCTGGCTTTTTCAAGGCTGAGGTTGATAAACTTGCCAAATGCTTAGCGGAGGTTGGAAAATGGATGTCATGTAACTCATTGAGACTTAATCAGTGCAAGACTCAGCTGCTTCCGGTTGGCACATGGCAGCAGTTGGTAAAATTAAATGTAAATTCCATCACAGTAAATGATGTTAACATACCGTTCATTCAGGCTGCCACCAATTTGGGAGTTTTGCTTGATAGTAGATTATTGATGAAGGATCATATAAAGATGATATCAGTTTCATGCATCTCTTGTCTCCGGAATTTATATAGAATTAAACCCTGATTGAACAGATCAACCTTGGAAACTTTGGTGCATGCGTTTGTTACATCTCAGTTAGATTACTGCAATAGCTTGTTGTATAAAATACCTGATAAATCTATTGCTATTCTGCAATCGGTTCAGAATAGAGCAGCAAAGTTGGTTGCTGGTAAATTGAAGTTTGACCACGTTACGCCAATTTTGAATGATTTGCACTGGTTGGTGATTGATAAAAGGATAATTTTTAAAGTTGATGTGATCATGTTCAAGGCTTTAAACGGAATGTCACCAGATTACATAACCAATAAATTTACCAAAAAAGGGACGGCGTCTAGTTTCTGCCTTCGGTTAGATAAGAATCTCTTAAGGGTGCCAGTGGCAAAGTTACAGATTGGATCACGTGATATTGCAATTACCGGTTCCACTTTGAAGAACAGTCTCCCTGCATCGCTGAGAAAACCTGGACTTCATCTTCGATCATTTAAAAAAAATTTAAAGACATTTTTATTTTCGTTGAAGTTGCATTGAATTTGATTTTGTACTTATTTTATTTGCACGTATATAATTAAGTTTGATTTTTTGAGAGCGCCTGTGAGAACTTTGAATAGGCGCTATATATATTGTCCTAAATAATAATAAATAATAATAATATTTTTGTTGTTGTTGCTGCTGTGTTGTTCACCAAATATTTATTTTTACAATAACAGCTGCACTAGATAGGTCATGTTATTCGTATGGCGGAGTTTCGTCTACCTCGTAGATTGTTATACAGCAAACTATTAAATAGCTATCGTTCAATCGATCAGCCAAAAAAGCGATTCGTAGATCAATTGAAAAGCGTACTTCAGAAATGTAACATCAACTCGACTGGACTTGAAAAAATAGAGAAAGATCGGTCTACATGGAAGAAGATTTGTAAAGCTGGTCTCACAAGTTTTATGTTGGAATGGACAAATGCCTCTTACAGGCGTCGACTTATACGTCATGCAGAAATATCAAGAGAATTGAAACCAACTGGTCCTCAATGCCTCCATTGTGGTAAACTATGCGCATCAGATCACACACACACACACACACACACACACACACACACACACACACATATATATATATATATATATATATATATATTTATAAATTGCTTGTTCTGACTCTATATGTGATTTAATTGGTTGGTTTAAATAATCTAAACACTCTATTACTATTTCTCCTATTATCTGTATCTTTGATTCTAGCGTATCTCTTTTTAGATTAATTGTGTTGCTAGAACTTTTACTTTTATCTAAGTAAAATAAAAAATTTTTCGCCTTTTCTTGACAATCCTACTCTTCTCCTTCTGGTTACTTCTTTAGTCTTATCTAGGCTTGATTATTGTAACTCGCTCTACTATGGTCTTCCTGATTCTACACTCTATCCTTTACGAAAAGCTTTTAACTCAGTTGCTCGTGCCCTTTTCTTTTTTCATGTATCTCTATATCTTGTTCTCTTGCACTGGTTACATATAAAATGTAGAATAATTTTCAAAATTTGCACTTTTATGTATAAGTTTCTATCTAAATTATTTCCTAAGTACTTATCAGATATATTAATTGACACTAAACGCGCCGGTTTACGATCGTCTTCTTGTTCTTATTTCTTCTGAACTTGTTTTAAACACTGTTTTTGTTTTTTCTGGCCCTTCTCTATCAAACTTTCTTCCACCTTCTCTGACGACTTCTTCACCACTTACGAAGTTCAGAACCATCTGGTTTCAAAATTCATTGAGAAGCGCTGTTGAACATCGGAAATAGCGCTTTATAAACTGATTGATTGATTGATTGGTTGGTTGGTTGGTTGGTTTATTGATTGATTGATTGATTGATTGATTGGTTGGTTGGTTGGTTGGTTGGTTGGTTGGCTGACTGACTGACTGACTGACTGACTGACTGACTGACTGACTGACTGACTGACTGACTGACTGACTGACTGACTGACTGACTGACTGACTGACTGACTGACTGACTGACTGACTGACTGACTGACTGACTGACTGACTGACTGACTGACTGACTGACTGACTGACTGACTGACTGACTGACTGACTGACTGACTGACTGACTGACTGACTGACTGACTGACTGACTGACTGACTGACTGACTGACTGACTGACTGACTGACTGACTGACTGACTGACTGACTGACTGATTGGTTGATTGATTGACAACCGTAAAGCAGTGCAGAAATGCAAACAGGTTTGTACACAGTAATCTTTGTAACCACTGTAAAATTGTGATTTTAAATGAGGCGACTCCTCAGTCTGCCAAATGCTGCCGACGCCACCCTAATGCGATGCTCAATTTCACGATCCAGACAGCAGTCAGTACCCACTGAGCATACTACCAAGATACATGAATTTCTGCGAATCATTGAGAGCATCTCCATGTACCACAAAAGGTGTAGCTGGTTCGTTTTGATTTATAGCGATGGAGGGTACCTCGGTTTTTGCAGTGTTGGCAACAAGTCCAGCACGACTATAGGCACATGACAAAACATTTAGACTATTTTGGAGAGCGGAGATGGTGTTGGCAGGAATGGCAGCGTCAACAGCGTATTGGAATTCAAAAATCCTATAGTGTGATACTTTGCTTTCCGCCTTGAATCGTTGAATGTTAAAGAGGCTGCCGTCGAGACAGTAACGAAATGGGATGGCAAAATGTTAATATTTATTAATTGTTCAATAATATAATATTAATTATTTTCCAATTATATTATAAACGCTAATATTCATTTATAAATAAGCATAATGTTAAATTACTTTTACTAATACATTAGGTAGGAATACCTCTTTTTGGTACTGTTTGCGATCAGGCAACGGATCAAAAAAATGTTATTTTTGTTCGCCACAAATATCAAACAGTCAAAAATAATAAAAATAAAAACAATTAGAAATTTATTTTATTAAGGCAAACACTTACATCAACTGATTTTCAATGTTTTTAAAGTATCTTTAATTTTGTAGTGATTTAAAATTGTAAAGGAAAAATTTTCTGGGTGTCAGAACCCGGAGTCAGAAATTTTATCTCAAAGTCGGGAAATTTTCAATCAAGGAGTTGAAAAATTTTGTGTTGTGAGGTTTTTTTAGCGCGCATATGGAATGAATGGCGCAAGTGTATATGTTGGCGCGCATGTTGTGGTCAGGTGGGCAGTCTGGTCGAATGTCGTATGAATTGGTTCTGTATGCAGGTTGGTTGAATGTTGGTATGGCGCATATATGGTGAGTATGGTTGAGAATGAATGTTTCTCAGTTTGTTTAGAATTTGTTTGGTATATAAACCTTTTGGACAATTGTAGAAAAAAAGGGAAAGTTGGTGTTATAATTTGGTGTTTTGGAATAGCGTTGTGAATTAGTCTTTGGTTTTATCGTAGTTGTATTGGTCGGACGGATGTTTTTTGGTTTGGGATTTCATTTGTTACGGCTGGTAAAAATATTTTTTTGTTTATTTAGAACATTTAATTTAGTTGACATTAGAAACATTTGCTTTAAAGAGTATTATTTTGTTTGCTTTAAAGAATATTATTTTGTTTGCTTTAAAGAATATTATTTTGTTTCTTTTATTTTTGGTTCATTAATAGAATTATTTCAGTTAGGCTTGGTTTGTCAATTTTAAAAACTAAAACATGTTTGAAGAAGACTTGCTAGCGGTTAATAGGGCCGGATTAACCGACCAGCAAGCAGGGCGCGATAATACTTCCGCCTGGCCCTTATTTTCCGACCCGGAAATAAAAAGTTGTGAAGAGGCGAGTCCCGGCCAGAAGCAAAACTGCCTAGGCTGGCGGCTGTTGATATTCGAGCGAAGGAAAAATTTCGCCGCGCGGCAAAAGTTCACAATTGGCGCCCAACGTTGGGCCTCTTCTTCAAAAGTTTTAGGTGACAAGTACAGCAGGAGTCAAGGTGATTACCCTCGTCAATTTTTAGGTGACGAGTATATCACAGATAAAATTAAAATTGTTTCTCCCAAACTTTTAGGTGACAGGTATGGCAGTGACCGCAGTGAAATTCCTAATTCCAAATTTTTAGGTGACAGGGCTGGTTCTACCGAAAATATTTTAGATTTCAAGTATCAGGTAGGTCAACAGTCAGTACCGGAAGCAGTTGTTTGTAAAACTTCTCCAGGATTTTCAGGTAATGGGTTTGACGACGCACAGAAAATTTTCAATTTTAAGTCTGCGGAATTCGCGCCAGAACAAGTTTTACCAGTTTATAAGCCTACGCCAGCACAAAGGCTCTCTCTTATTTGTAAACGTAATAATGTTTCAAATTCTAGGAATAGGTACAGAATGGTTCAAGAGGATGAAGAAGTCGAACACAGTCCTTCGTTTGACAACCACGGGGAATCACTGCTTTGTCAGCCGAGTGTAAATACCAAACATCACAGGTTGGTCCGACATCACGAGCTGTTAAAACCAGACAAGTTTGATGGCACTGGGTGTCTCAAAACTTTTCTTAAGAAGTTCGAGATATGTGCTATGTATAACCAATAGAGTATGGACGATATGGAAGCGTATCTGTCATGTTCGTTGACAGGTGAAACTGCTGAAGTTCTTTGGGACTTAGCGGGACTAGGTTATCAAGAATTAGTAACAAAGTTAGAAAACCGTTATGGAACGAGTGGTCACGAAGAGTCGTATAGATATGAGTTGCAGACTCTTCGACGCAAACCAGGTGAGTCGCTTCGTGAATTATCACAAACGGTAAAAAAGTTAATGTCGTTAGCTTACCCGGTCAAACAGTCAAAGTTGGCGGTACATTTAACAAGAGATTTTTTTTTATTTGCTCTTAATGACGCTGATTTAGAACTGAAAGTTAGAGAAAGGGAACCTAGAAATATTGATGAGTCGTTACGAATTGCACAGCGCCTTGAAGTTTTAAAAAACTTAGTTAATTTATCCTACAGGTTTACCCCACAGGTTAGGAACATGCAGGATACAACAGAAAACAGGATGAAGGCAGTGGAGCGGCAATTAAACGCGCTTTGTCAATCGGTTGACGTCATTCAAGACCATAAGGTACAGTCAGCTGTCCCTCGGAGCAGGGGTGAAAAAGTTTGTTTTGGCTGTGGAAAACCAGGACACTTCATCTCCCAATGTCCTCAGAAAAATATACCAAACAAGTTTCAGTCAAGCAATCAAAAGGGTCAGAATAACTGTTACAGGTGCGGAAAATCAGGCCATTTCAAAAGGGAATGTCCAGAGAAAGAAAAGTCAAATAAACAATCACAACGCGTGAATAAATCTAAAGAAAGTGATGATCAAACTTTATATCTGCCGATTTTGATAAATGGCAGAAAAAGATTGGGTTTATTGGATAGCGGAAACAGCGTATCTATCATCCCGTCCTCAATGGTTGACGTCGCGAGGGTCACACCTACCAAAAGATTGCTGAAGGCCGCTAACAATACAGAGATTCCAATGAAGGGGGAAATGAGACTATGGATAAAGGTTGGTGGATTTTCTAAGCTTGCTTCGGTTTTGGTATCAGACCACGTGTCAGAAATTATCTTGGGTTTAGACTGGCTAGTAAATAGTAAAGTCTCATGGAAGTTTGACGAAGCACAAATTACCGTGGGTAACAAAAATAAAGAAGTGAAGTTGGTCACTAAAAGATCGTCAGAGAGGCAATTTTGCCGAATCTATTCCAGTGTGGAAGTGCAAATTCCGGCACGAGCTGAAATAGATGTACCAACAAAATTGGTGGTACGCCAGCCATCCAAATTAACATTGACAGATTGTGTATGTTCTGAGGCAAGGCAAGTGACGTCGGGTGTATTTGTTGGAAGGACGTTGCTTCCGATAAAATACGAGGGTCAATGTGTCAGAATATTAAACGTAAATGACGAATCCAGGTTGATTAAACAGGGAACGCGGTTGGCCGATCTTTCATGGGCCATCGTAGAAAATAAGTTGGATCAACAACCGCTGCAGAAAAATCTAGTTAACGTTAAAACCATAATTGACGAATTGACCAGGGATGCCCCAGAAGAAGGAAGGCGTGAATTATCTGAGTTATTAAATAATTTTCAGGACATATTTAGTGATACAGGTACAGAAATTGGAGTTGCAAAAGGGGTTTATCATAGGATCAACACAGAGCAGGCTCGGCCAATAAAGCAACAACTCAGACGTCATCC